GTCCTCACCCCGTCTGCCTCCTTACCCCACTTTCTCTCCTCTTTCTGCCTCTCTTTCTCCCCCCCTCCTTCCCTCTTTCTCCCCCTCACTCCTGCTCTCTCTCTCTCTTTCCCTCTCTATCTTGTTTACTCTCCTGTAGCTGCAGGGCACGCTGGATTCCTTTCACTGAGCTGGTGAGCCTGTGGCCAGTTGGTGGTCTGTGCCACTCAGTCAGACTGAGTGCAGCGATGAGCAGGGCATGGTTGCTGACTGTGACAGGGACAGTGTCACTACATCCTGACTTTGTGCAGGGCCCTTGCAGCTTCTGATGTGCCCGAAACGAGTCGCCGTTCTAAATGAGAATTCCCAACGAGTTGGAACGACAATGGCAATGTGTCTTCGGGAACAATGCATCTCACAAAGGAATGCATCGAGTTACTTCTTATCAAGATCGTCAGGGGTTAATGACTGGGTTCCTGCTGTGCCCCACACTCTTTGTGCTGCTGCTGGGCATTGTCTATGTGAGGAGGCAGCAGTTTGAGCTGAGCTCTGTTCAATAGACACAGCTGATTTGTCCTTTTACAATGATGTACTGCTCCTCTCAATAGTGCCTTAGACAGGGCTTGTGTGTGTACAGTTTTTGCAAATAATAATCCAGTACATGGCCAATAGAGCATTGCAGTTCATGGAGGGATGCTAACTGTCAAAAAGATCTGGGCTAACTGACTTCATTATGACTTCAGTTTGCAAAGCTACTGAGTTTGACAAAGTAGACGTATTCACGATTGTGATTGAGTTTCTGACTGAGTGTCCTTTGTCAGCCAGACATATGCTTGAGATGGAGGGTCCCTGCTGTGGCCACAGGTCAAGCGTGACGTTGGTTAGTCAGTGACCAGAGGGATCAAAGTGTGGGCTAGACGCTGAAGAGGGAGCAGGGGTGGGTGGGAATGGGGTCACATCTAGACGTGAACAACTTGGCTCACACTACCTCAGTGTGACAGGCCAGCCGAGCGCTGTGTAGGAAATTAATCCAGAGGCATTCGTCTCAGGCAGCTTTCCCGCCCCCCAGATGGTGAAGTGGGGTCTGGAATGCCCTCCCTGGGAGGGGAGTTGAGGCAGGAAACCTCACAACCTTTAAAACGTTATCTGGAGGAGAACTTGAAGTGTCGTAACATTCGAGGCTATCGGCCAATTGCTGGAAAGTGGGATTAGTGGGGATAAGTTGGCACAGACTCGATGGGCTGAATGGCCTATTCTGTGAGTCTATATAACTCTTAAGTGCATAGCTGTGGCTAAATTAGATGGCACGACCGCCTCTGAGTTTGAACGTCACGGCCTCAATCTCCCCTCATAGAGTTATAGAGTAATACAGCATGGAAACAGGCCCTTCAGCCCAAACTGATCCATGCTGACCATGGTACCCACTCAGTTCTTTCCAGTTGCCTGCATTTGGTCCATATCCCTCTAAACCTTTCTCACCCATGTGACTATCCAAATTTTTTTTATAAATTGCTATTGTACCTGCCTCAGCTACTTTCTCTGGCAGCCCGTT